AACCCAAGAAGGGCTCCCACAGGACATACAGAACATCCCACAGCAAGGCATGGTTGCACACACTTTTAATCCCAGCACTCAGGAAGCAGAGGCAGTCAGATCTCTCTGAGTTCAAAGTCAGCCTGGTCTACAAAGTAAGTTCCAGAACAGCCATGGCTGCATAGTGAAATCCTGTCTAACATAATAAAATAATACTAATAATACTAAATAATAATAATAATAATAAACACTTTAGTCAATCCTGTAATCCCAGCTACTTGGGAAGCTGAGGCAGAAGAATTCCAAGTTCAAGGCCAGCTTTGACAATTTAGTGAAACTTCGTCTCAAAATAGTGAAGAGTGGGCAGGCTGTTGCTCAATGGTTAAGTCCTTGCCAAACATGCATAAGGCACTGGATTCAATCTCCAAAACTGGAAGGAAAAAAAGTTGACATCCACTTAACAATATATGCTGGCTGCTGTTATTTGACTGTTGGTTTTTTGTTTTGTTTTGTAAGATTGATTTACTTATTATGTATGCAGTGTTCTGCTTGCAATTTGCCTGCCTGCCAGAAGAGGGCACCAGATCATATTATTACAGATGGTTGTGAGCCACCATGTGGGTACTGGGAATTGAACCCGGGTCCTCTGGAAGAGCAGCCAGTGCTCGGAACCTCTGAGCCATCTCTCCAGCCCCTATTTGACTGTTTTATAATTATATGCTTTTGTGCATACGAATTTCCTGGGTTTTATTATGGAGCACGTTGGAGTTTTGTTTATTTAGCTTGTTTGTTTTGATTTGTGGTCTTTATTTTGTGTATGCGTTATTGCTGTGACGTTCCTAAACCATTAATTATATGAAAAAAAATGCAGCCAAGGTAAACATAGTGGCTCATGCCTGTAATCCTAACACTTGTGTGGGGCATACATGGGCTGCAAAGAGGGTGCCGAGAGAAATTTAGATAAATAGAGCCTAAGCTTTAAGCTGTTTGTGCAGAGAGTGGATACAAATGGTACCAGAGGAAGTTAGTTTAAGCTGTTTGTACAGAGAATAGATACAAAGGATGGCTTGGGTTGTTTGTATGGAGATTAAAGACAAATAGTGAGAAAGGAAGTTAGCTCAAGTTATTTATGCTAAAAACAGGAGATGATGTCAGGGCATAAACAACTTGTAAATAGGGTGACCTTTAAAATGATTGGCTGGTTCCTTCACCCCCCTCCTAGGGTTCTGAGGTTTTCTGGTATAAAAGAGGCTTACTGCCCATCAATAAACGAGTTCTTGATTGTCTCCGGTAAGAGGGAGGCTGGGGAACGGGCGAACGGTGCGCACTTGCCTTTCCGCGGTTCCAGGCCACCTCTCACAGGTGACCTAAGTTCCCGGTGGGGCAGGTCCCCACACACTTGAGAGGATGAAGTAGAAGGGTTGCTGTGAGTTCAAGACTAACCACAGCTATAGAGTAAGACTCTGTTTCAAAATATCTTTGTCTCAAAACAAACAAAAAAGCAAAGCCATGGTCCAGTGAGATGGCTCAGCAGGTAAAGGTACTTTCTGCAAGTCTGGTGACCTGAGTTTGGTCCCCAGAACCTACGGAAAGGTGGAAGGAGAGAACCAACTCCACACAGCTCTTCTCTGAACTCCCCATGTATGTCATGGCACATATGCATGTGCACACATCCACACAATAACAATGTAATTACTTTTAATTTAAAGTACTTTATCTGGGGTAACCCAGGAATTAAGTACTGTGGCCACTGAATTCATACGTAATGGTTCTATCTCTGGTGCTGCTTTCTCAGGGGACTACATTCCTGGTACAGAGACCCACATGGCCCCAGAAGTGGTGATGGGGAAGCCCTGCGATGCCAAGGTGGACATCTGGAGCAGCTGTTGCATGATGCTCCACATGCTCAATGGCTGCCACCCCTGGACTCAGTACTTCCGAGGCCCACTCTGTCTCAAGGTCAGTGGTTGCCACAAAACAGCTGTGAGGGGAGGCCAGCAGGGCCGTGGATCTAGGCCGCAGGCTTGTGAGGGTTTTTCTTCCATGGCAGATGTGACTAATGGAAGGTGTCTTCTGCCTGTCCCCTGGGCTGCTTCTACCAGCTCCTTTAGACTATGTCCTGCCCTATTTGGATCCGTGTCTCCCTTTTCTAGGGAGACTCTCCCCACTGGCCCAGCCCTCTCCCTTCTTGGGGTAGATCCCCAAGCTGGCATAGGATTGGGGGAGAGTAAAGGGTAAGGCTGCTAGTGGAAATAAGGAAACAGGTCTTGCATGTTGCGTTTTGGCCTCCAGATTGCCAGCGAGCCTCCACCCGTGAGGGAGATTCCTCCTTCCTGCGCACCCCTCACAGCCCAGGCCATCCAAGAGGGGCTGAGGAAAGAGCCTGTCCACCGAGCCTCTGCCATGGAGCTTCGGGGGAAGGTGAGCCAGGCATTACAGCAAGGTAAGAGAGCCTTGTCTGCCTGGGCGGATGGCAAGCCGTGGGCAGAGGGAAGGTCAGGCCCGAGACGTCAAAAGAGAGAAACAGCGCCTCAGAGCCTCGGTCTCCCATCTTCCCTCCAGTGCTGGGAGGATTGAGGCAGTGAGAGGCAGTGAGTCCCTGTGCTTGAGGCCGGTGTCAGACTTGAGAGACGAGGAAGAGGGACTGTGTGACATGGAACAATGACTCAGTGCGAATTAGAACCACGCACATCCAATAGCCACTCAGCCAGAAAGAACCAGAAAGTTGGTAGCAGCAAGTACTGGTGGAACTGTGGGGTAGCAAGACGCCTGGGCACGGGGAGGGCATAGACGGGGCCGCAGCCATGCTGGAGGGTACCTGTTAGCACTCGGGCAGACCTTTGCACACCCAGGACCCAACCCCTCCGCTCCTGGTGCACTACAGCCCTGTTGTTAGGGGGAGGTGAGCGTGATTCGGAGTCCCTCAAGGGAGGGTGGAAAGGCTGGGGAATGAGCCATCGCCCAGCACTAAGTATTCAGAATATCAGGAACTGATCTGAACGCTATAGGCAGTGAGTGCCTTATAAGTGAACAGAACCCCTAAGAGGAGGCTTGGAGCATAAGAGCTCTATTGCAAGTTAAAAATCAATAATGAAAGCAGCACACATTTTAAGCTGGGTGTGATGACTCATGCCTGAAATCCCAGCACCTAGGAGGCAGAGGCAAAGAGGATTATTGGACTTTGAGGCCTCAGATATAGAGTGAGATATTGTCTTAAAAAAAAAAAAAAATTAAGCGTACTGGCTGCTCTTCCAGAGGTCCTGAGTTCAATTCCAAGCAACCACATGGTGGCTGCAACTTCAGAGCATATGATGCCCTCTTCTGGACTTTGTGGGCACTGCACTCACATAATCAACACATACATACACACATAATTTAATTCTTTTTAATTGATGGGCCATTCTTGCCTGGGCTGGTGTCTGCATGCCTGCACACTTCCGTCTCACTTCTGGTGCCTTCTCCCTTACAGTGGGAGGTCTGAAAAGCCCTTGGAAAGGAGAATATAAAGAACCAAGACCTCCACCTCCAGACCAAGCCACCTGCCACCAGACCCTCCACACCCCACCAAGGGAGAAGCCACCATCCAAGGCCAGCACACCATCCAAGGCCAGCACAGACGGGGCCTCTGAGCCTCAGCCTCCTCTGCCGCCAGAACCACCAGAACAGAGCAGAGCTCCAGCCCTGAACCTGAGCAAGGAGGAGTCTGGCACTTGGGAACCCTTGCCTCTGTCCTCCCTGGACCCAGCCCCTGCCAAGGGCCCCAGCTTCCCAGACCGGAGGGCAACCTTTCCAGAGCTGGAGCTGCAACAGCTGGAGATAGGTACGACATTTGGCTGTAGCCATGCGCGTACGTGCGCGCACACGCACACGCACACGCGCACGCACGCACGCGCGCGCACAAACACAGGATTTTTGTTGCTGTTGTTCCCAGCCTCTTTTCCACCGTTGCCAGCAGGCCGGCTCCTGCCGGTTGTGCAGGAGGAATGCTGGGAACCTAGCAACGTCAACTTTTCCAGCCCTTCACGGCCATCTTCCTCTTCCTCCCCTGCAGAACTGTTTCTCAACAGCCTGTCACAGCCCTTTTCTCTGGAGGAACAGGAACAGATTCTCTCTTGCCTCAGCATCGACAGCCTCTCCCTGTCAGAGGACAGTGAAAAGGTGAGCTGATGAACAGCTTGGGCATGGGCTCTGTGCAAGCTGTAGGTAGAGGAGCGGCAGTGAGGTCCCCCCTCCTTTCTTGGAGGGGTCTTTGCACCCCAGACCAAGACAGCATGCCTTCAACACGCCTGGGAGTCAGGAAAAGTTGTAGTTAGTAGGGAAACTGGGTGGTAGCTTTGGTCCCACCCAGAAATGCACCTTCCCCATGTAGCCTAGGACAGGCAGGTCCTGACCCTAGGAGAGGCCCAGGTCCTCTTGTCCCAGAGGAAACCGAGGCCAGAGACAGTTTCCTGAGCACTGTGCAGGAAACTGTGCTGAGGAGTCTGTACCTGCTCTTGTGTTCAGCACCCATCCAAGGCCTCTCAGAGCTCGCGCGACACCCTGAGTTCCGGCGTGCACTCCTGGAGCAGCCAGGCAGAGGCAAGAAGTTCCAGCTGCAACATGGTGCTGGCCCGGGGGCGGCCCACAGACACCCCGAGCTACTTCAATGGTATGGTCCGCTTATCCCCTCTTGCCAGCCCATTCCTGCCAAAGACCTGGGAGAGGTGGAGAGAGTTCATTGGCTTCTCCCCGTTACAGAGGGGTCAGGGAGGAAGGTGTCTGCCACCCAGAACCTCACATCTGTACCTGGAAAGTTGGGTTTAGACGAACAGCCCTGACCACCCACAAAGCTTTCCAGATAATGAGGGGAGAGCCATGCTCCCCCACTGGCTACCAGTGGAGGTGCGGAAGCCCGACAGAATGGGGAGGAAAATGGCCTCTCCTGGGCTCGGGCCAGAAGCTGAGTAGCTAAATGCCTGCTGATGGGGAAGGAAGGAAAATACCCAAGAAGTCAGCAGTGAGTTTGTTGGCATCGTCTCTGGGGATCTGAAGTTAGAAGATGAGGAGACACATAAATGTCCATTTTCAGGCTTGGGTGCACTGTTCTGTTGGAGGTGGGCTTCATCAGTTCATAGGTCCTAGCCCTCGCCAGGGTCAGTGTGACTCGCTGTCAGGCCCCAGGACCATGGCAAAGCACTTCAGCTCAGAGATCCTCACGCTGCCTGTAGTCTAATTTAAGAATGTCGAAGAGAATGGGAGCATGACAAGCTTGCTTCCTGTCTGGACTAAAATTGGGATGATGTGACTCAGAGGAACCAATGCTCACAATTCATCAGAAATGAGTGTGAGGTTAGGCTGGCATTATTGAAGTATAAAACCTTTACTGAGTCAAGAGGGGTAACCTAACTTATCTGTTACATCTTCTGTATTAAAAGAAAAGTCTCTGTTGGGTCTTGAATTTTCCGGAATTGGCTTGTTATTTAAAGAATAATTTGCCAGGCATGGTGGCACATGCCTTTAATCCCAGCACTCGGGAGGCAGAGGCAGGTTGATCTCTGTGAGTTCGAGGCCAGCCTGGTCTACAAAGCAAGTTCTAGGACAGCCAGAACTGTTACACAGAGAAACTCTGTATCAAAAAAGAAGAAAAATAAATATAAAAAATATTTAATTGTGCCCAGCATTGTCATGAAGGGACTCACAAGGGCTTAGAGGATACTCAGTGGCAGGGTGGCTGTCTGACGTCCTTGACACTCTGCCACAGAAGCAGTGGGGACAGGGGTCTTTTATCTCTCTGAATAGTGGAGACACCTGTAGCCCTTTCCTTAGATGTTTTCAAATGGATTCTGGGAAACTAAAATTGCACTCAATTCATTATGTTGTTTACCCATTTTAACAGAAAAATGTCTTTCTTGTAGTCAGGAGTACATCAACTGGAAAGAACTTTGAAATGACAGTCACTTGCCACCCCTCATAAAAGAGAGGGCTTCACAGAGGGGTTCAGTTAATGTCATTTTGGAGAAGATTAATGCTTGGTCTTTTTGTTGTGTTGCTGAGGATTGAACTCAGGGCCCTTGTGCATGCTGGGTAAGGGCTCCACCACTGAGCATCCCCCAGCCTGAACGTGTTACACTAAAAGAAGTTAGTCTATGCTCTTCGTTTGTAGAAGACTTTAAAATGGCTACATGTTATCACATTTGCCTCAGATGACTGAACTAAAAACAAAAAGGAGAAGAGGCCAGGCAGTGTCCACGCCTCCCAGCACTCGGGAGGCAGAGCCAGGCAGATCTCTGTAAGTTCGAGGCCAGCCTGGTCTACAGAGTGAAATCTAGGACAACTAGGGCTACACATAGAAACCCTGTCTTAAAAAACTAAACAAGACAAAAATGGGGAGAAAAAGAAATCTAGATGAAGGAATTATGAAGAGTAGAAAGACAGACAGCTGATAAACCAGTAACTCGGTCAGGGGGAGGGGTCCTTTGTGTTCAGTGCCTTTTTGCTGTAGATCCAGAGTAGAATGTTTCTTCCCCCTGGGAGCTGACCTCAGCTCTTAACAAGGTGCAGGCCAAATTCCAGGCATTGCCGGCCAGGAAGTGCTGTGTAGTATTATGGCCTCTTAACCTGAATTTTCTCTCTGCTGCTCACCCCGGCCCGAATGCTCCACTCCATGACTCTGAGGGCAGTGACTTCACAGAGGTTGGCCCTGCCCATGCTGGGTCCCTGCTCTGGGTGACCAGCCACGGCTCTGCCCTCACTGTCAACCTCTGCCTTCTAGGTGTCAAGATCCAAATACAGTCTCTCAATGGCGAACACCTGCACATCCGGGAATTCCACCGGGTCAAGGTGGGAGACATTGCAACTGGCATCAGCAGCCAGGTACGGACACAGGTCACACTTAGGGTCTGGATTCTCCAGTGGGAAGGCTTTCAAATAAGTAGAAATGGTGCCCTGGGAGATAGTGGCCTATGGCTTAGCTGTCCTCCAGGGCCCAGGGCAAGACAGGCAGGGGCTGTTGGGGATCTCTGAACTTGGGCTAGGAAGGAGGACTCTCTAAGTCCTCCAGAGTGAAGGACAGGCAGTGCTCTCTCCAGGCTGCTTGTTTGGCTGCAGATGTCTCCGAGCGTGTTTGGGGACCATCAGCTTTACACTCTGGGTTCTCACCCCACTTCTTTGCTCTCCCCACAGATCCCAGCCTCAGCCTTCAGCCTGGTGACCAAAGATGGACAGCCTGTTCGCTATGATATGGAGGTGCCAGACTCAGGCATTGAGCTGCAGTGCACACTGGCCCCAGACGGCAGCTTTGCCTGGAGCTGGAGGGTCAAGCATGGCCAGCTGGAGAAGCGGCCCTAGCCCTGTCTTCCACCGCCAGCTCCACCCTGCCCACAGCAGGCTTCCTTTGAATCTCAGTGTTCACTGCTGCCCTGGGACGCTAGCTGAGTCTGCTCAGGGAGACCTGCCAGTCCTTGTTCAGCAGTAAGACCAGGGCTTGCAGCAGCGACAGGAGCAGATAAAGCACCTCCCAGGATTGGCCTCCTGAGTGCTGCTGGCCTCTGGCAGGAGAAACCCTTCACTCATGAGGAGACGAGGAGCAAGACTGGGGTCTCATCCCCCAAGGAAGAGAGCCAGTGCTCTCTGTGATGCTCTGAACAAGGTAGCCAGACTCCCATGGATCAGTCAGCACTTGCCAGCAGTTGGAGGGCAGCGTCTAGCCTGGGCCAAGAAGAGCAGGTACCTAGGAAGGTAGAAGAGCTGGGCTCCCACCCGGCTCATACAGGAAAAGCAGCAGGTGTACCTGCTCAGGGGCTTGGGGAGCCTTTGACCCCTTGTCTGGTCTCCCTGGCCGTCGACTAGTATGGGACAGCAGGCAGGAAGGATGCTAGCACCTTGGTAGAATGCACCACACCTCCAGGTTATGCAGGAATGCAGCCCAGGTCTTGAGTTGAGCTCCTTGTTCAACCAAGGACCACAGAAGGTAGTGAAGAGAAATGCGATCCTCAGGCCTCACGTTTGTGGCTGCTGGCCACTCCTCCTCAGAGCATCCGGCCTCGTTGAGGCCTACCTTTTGGCTAGCTGGCACTCTAGTCCCTCATCTGTGAAACTGAAGGATGACATGAGACCCACCTGACAGGAATAGTCTGCAAATGACAGATGCTAACGCCACAGATGCAGGACTCGCCACCCTCCAGGGCACATAGTGGGTACCCAGCATGCCAGCTTCGTGGTGGCAAGACACTGCCAGCAGCACTTTGCACTCTGATGACCTCAAAGCACTTTTCTGGCTGCCTTCCAGCAGAGCATTGGCTCTGCATGGGCACAAGCAGGCCAGGGGATGGGGAAGGGACTGTCTTGACCTGTCATCCACACAGGCTTGACCGTCTCAAGCCTCCTTCAGATTTAAGATGAGCACCTCCACCCCCACTGCCCTAGCCAGGCTTTTCCTGGCGGGGCCTGGAGTAGCTGCTTAGGACTCATGTAGCATTAAGTTAACTGTGAATCGTTGTGGGGAGGGGCGCACAGACCCCCTCCTCTGGAAAAGCTCACCCCCACCCCCAGCCAGCCAGGATAGCTTCCACCCAGCTATCTGCAAGGAGCCAGGCTGCTCCTGGCCCCAGCAGAGGAAGAACTGCAGCCAGTGCCGCATTTGGGGTGTACCTGAGCTCTGTAAGCAATAAAGTTTGGGGTGATGATTGGGTGTTTATAAGCTGTGGTGTCTCTTTTGCCTGCCTGCTTGCTGTACCCCACAACCCTGACAACTGTCGGGGTGAATTCTTTCAAGTCTCCCCATTGCTGGGGGTAAGGACCGGCATCAGCCCTTGAGGTAGGCTGCTTGTCCTTCCCCTCTCCAGGCTGCCCAACTCATGGCTGAAAGGAGGAAGCCAAAGGCCAGGCCCCCCAGTAGCACCAGAAGGGGAGGGGCTTGCGTGTCCCAGCACTAACACTCACCCTCTCCGGTCCCTGAGGCCTGGCAGCCAGAGGACTTGCCTGGTACCAGTTTGAACATTGGCGTGGGATGGCGATGACTTCCCTCCATCATGGAGCAGAGGGTGGCCGAGGACAGAGGTGCATTGTCTGACCTGGCTCCAGTCCCTACCAAGAGCTGACTATGCCCGTGCACATCTGTAATCCAGCCTTGGAATGTATAAAGAATTTGAGGCCAGCCTGGGCTACATGGGACTTTGTCTCCAAGTGAAAACAAGTTTTTAAAACAGATTTGAGACAGGGTCTCACTGTGTATCCCCCGTTATGTGGGCCAGGCTGGCCTCAAACTCACAGAGACCCCATCCCCCTGCCTCCACCTCCTCAGTGCTGGAATTAAATAAAGGTTTATGCTACCATGTCCAGCTAGGGGAAAAAAATTAAAGCCAGCTGAAATGATTCTGAGTAAAGAGGCTTAACACCAAACCTGACTCTCTGAATTTGACCCCCAGGAATTGGGTAGTGGAAGGTGACAACCATTTCCCAAAAGCTGGCCTCTGACCTCCACACACTGGCCATGGTATGCAAGTGTCCACACACACACAAATAATAAATGTAATTGTAAAAAATTGTAAGATCACCCTGGAAAGCTCTGCACAGGTGTGTGCACTGCACACGTGTACAGCTTAGGTTGAGATTCCTTGGAGGAATCCTAGACCCTCAAAAATGCCTCCGCTTTGTAGCCAGATAAGGCTCCAAGCCCTGTCCTTACCCAGGATTGCTGTCCACATACCTGGTCCGCTGGGAGTGTCTCCCCGCCCCCCACCCCCCACCCCCCACCCCACCCCGACCGCGCGCCCCAGGCCCTTGTCTCAGTGCCCTGGCTGCTGCACCTCCAAGCCTTGAAAGATCCTCAGCTGCTCCCACCCACATCCTCGGCGTCAATCTTCAAGTTTCCTGCCTGTCGGATCCCTGGCCAAACGTCACAGAAGCCGCAGCATCACAGCCGCCAGCGCCCATCATCGCCAGCGCCCCTCCACCCGGCTAACCAAAGAGCGCACTGGAGGCGGAGGGGCAGCAGCCACCAGCCCGCTCCCCGCCCCCCGGACAGAGCCTCCGTCAGCATGGGGGTGACAGGTGGGAGCAGGCGGCCGAGTGGTGGGCGGCGCCAGAAATGGCAGGGTGGAGGCGGAAAAAGGGAACCTGAGTGATGCCCCAGAGTTGGCCTGGGGAATGGAAAGGAAAGCTGACCCCAACCAAGCCCCTCCGGGTGCCGTTGATTAGTGCTGCAGCCCGGGCGCTGTCCAAAAAAAAAAGTGGGGGCGGGGAGGGGACTGGATCGGTCCAGGGTCTTAGTGAATTTAGCCCAACGGGATCACATTCGCGGATATAAATGCACACATTTGGCGGAGCTAAGGGCTGGGAAGTTAATGTCTTTGCAAAGGCGGTCGCTGAATCCACCTTGTGTGAGACACTGCGGACGACCAGAGACTCAGAGCGAGTAAAACCCGCAGAGGGTCTGGGGAAGAGTCAGCAGGAGACCACGTGCTCCGAAAGGTGGGCCTAGGGCTACCGGAAGAGCAGTGAGGTCTAGGCCTCCCAAGCATTGTTGAGGCCTTGCGTCATCACAGTGAGGAGCCAGGAGCACTGACGAGTGCGAGTGTGTGATGTTTAAGGACGGTGAGATTTAAGATCTCCTCCAAGAAAAACGTGGTCACAAGCTTGAAAGCACCACGGTGCAGGGACAACTCCTTGTCCACCTCTGTCCTCAGCCTCCAATACAGTGGCCAATAACTGAGACTCAACATTTCCTTTTCAACTTTATCAAAGAAATAAATACCCCTCGATTCAAAAGCACTGAAGAGTTTATTCGTTAATGAAAAAACATCATGGTCCCCAGGCATGCCTCAGAGCAGCTGCAGGCCTAGCACTTTAACTTTTCTCAAAACAATAAAAAATAAAAATAAATAAATAAATTCTAGGTTAAAAACTAATCAGAATTTAAAGCCAACCATTATTAGTGACTCTACTGCCAGTATGAGTTCCTTCCTCTTATAAGTCACTGAGATTTCCCTTTTAAAAGTTTGTGAGCCAGGCAGTGGTGGCGCACGCCTTTAATCTCAACACTCAGGAGGCAGAGGCAGGTAGATGTCTGTGAGTTCAAGGCCAGCCTGGTCTACAGAGTGAGTTCCAGGATAGCCAAGGCTACACAGAGAAAACCTTGTCTCAAAAATCAAAATAAATAAATAACAAAAATAAAAAATAAAATAAAAATGAAGTATTTGTGGGACAGAGGTAGCATGGTGGTTAAAAAAACTTGCTGTGCAAGCCTGAGGACCAGGGTTCAGATCCCTGGAACCCACATAAATGCCAAGTGGGTGAGATGTCCAGCCTGTAATCCCAGAGCAAAGCTGGCTGGCTAATCCATCTGTGAGCTCTGGGTTTCCTAGCGACCCCGCCTCAGTGAATGAGGCGGAAGAGAACCAAGATGACTCCCAAAGGCAGCCTCCAGCCTACACACGCACAACACCCACACACACATGAAAATGAAAAACGTATTTGTGACTCGGTTGTACCTGATGTAAACAATGGCGACAGCCGGGTCTGCTCAGTAATCAGAGAACTTTGCAAGCCGGTGAGAGCCTTCATGTAAGGGAAGTGTTACTTTTTCCTTCTCCAGCTTCTTTGTTCTCTCCAGGCCTCCTTCCAGGTCTCGTAAACAGATCTGGATGGAGAAGATAGGATCTTATCAGCATCTTGCAAGCATGAGGCTCTGAGTTCAATCCCCAGAACTCACGTAAAACAGACATGGCGTATGCCTATGATCTCGATGTTAAGAAGGCGGACAGGAGGAACCCTGAGACCCTGGCTGGCCTGAGGAACCAGTAAGAGAGCCTGTCTCAAACAGCAATGTAGAAGGAGCCTAAGGAAGAACATGCAAGGCTGTCTTCCAGCCTCCACATGCACACGCATGTGCAAATGCACACATGCACACATATGAAAAAAGCAGACTCGCTATTAATTCTCTTCTCTCACTACAGCTTGATATTTGGGGTCCTCTCTCTGGAAATACTCTTTCTTGGTTGCCTACCAGTGCTATCTGCCAGAAAGCTTTCTCCTTCTTTCATTCTTTTTTCATAGCGTCCCATTATTTTTTTTTCAATGTGATACATTTTTAGTGTCATCCTTGAATCTCTGAAAACGATCAGCTTCTCTTCTTTTTTTTTTTTAAGATTTATTTATTTATTATGTATACAGTGTTCTGCCTGCGTGTCAGATCTCGTTACAGATGGTTGTGAGCCACCATGTGGTTGCTGGGAATTGAACTCAGGACCCCTGGAAGAGCAGTCAGTGCTCTTAACCGCTGAGCCATCTCTCCAGCCCCGATCAGCTTCTCTTCTAAGTACTCTGTTTCTCAAATTACCTTTGGTGTCCTGGGATCACTGTTCCACATGCTTATTGACAGTTTTGTCAAAGAGTTGGTGGGCCCTGGTCGCCCCTATTCAAGAATGAAACCATTTAAGGAGCTCAGGGGGATCCCTTCAACTGTAGGTCTTACTGCCTGGCCAGTGTCACTTCAGGGTGGTAAGACAGGAACCAGCCTCCTGTGGGAATGCCAGTGTCTTCTGACGCCTTACCCAGTGGGGGAAGGGCATCTTCAACCCTGACCCTCTCCCTTCATTCCTCGAATCTGAGCCCCGTCCTCCCCCCCGTCCCCCCTGTCCCCCAAACCTTGTGTGATCTTTCCTCTTCCTCCTCAGATAGCTGTCCTAGTCTTCTGCTTTCCACACTCCGGAAGCACAGAGAACTCTCTGGGGTGCTGTTCACTGGCTTAGTTTAATCATTACAAATTCACATTCATATGCTTTCATTCTCTCTGTCTGTCTGTCTCTCTCTCTCTGTCTATCTCTCTGTCTCTCTCTCTCTGTTAAATATGGAGTCTCCCAAGTGCTCAGCAGATGCTGTACCTCTGAGTAGTATCCCAGCCCTTTCTCATCTCTAAGTTCCATTTCAAACACCCAGTCATGAGGAGGAAACGATGTCACACTGTTGAGGGTTCTCTCTAACTGGTGTGTTGGTCTGTTATCCTATTACCATTTGAAGGTAGACTTGTGATAAGTTAAAGTTGCATAGTCTAAGCCTTAAAGCAATTAAAATAACAAGACAGAGTCATAGCTTTGAAAGTCTGGTGGAATCATACAAATACATAATCTAAAGGGGGCATAAAAAAAAGCAGAGGACACGTGGAAAGGAAATAACAGAACAATCCATTTAAACACAGAAGGCAGATGTCACGTAGCTCTAAAGCAAGTGGTCAGCATGCATAAGATCATTGTCCTGAGTTCAGTCTCCAGCACCTCTCCCCACACCACACACACACACACACACACACACACACACACACACACACACACCAAGTCACTTCTAAACAGCAGAGATTGCCTAAGTGGACAGAAAACGTCACCCTTGGGCTGGGGATGTAGCTATATTGATGGCTGCTTGCTGGGATACACAGGCTCTGGAAAAAGAGAAGAAGAAAAAAGACTCAACTACATGCTGCCCATTTAAATTTTACTTTAAATATAAAAATACAAAGATTAAAAGTAAAGTGATAGCTCGTGCTAACGTTAATCCCCAGTACCACGAACGTGAGACTACAGAAACTAAAAAGCTAGATCACTCAAAGCAGGTTTCAAATCAAATAACAGATCAAAGGAGATCATTTCACAGTGATAAAGAGGCTACTTGGCCAAGGGTTAGGGAAAGTAGTCAGGAAGTAAAGGTGCTTGCCACCAAGCCTGACAACCTGAGTTCAACCCCCGGGACCACACAGTCGAAGAAAACTGACTGCCGCAAATTATCCTATGACCTCCATATGTGCAGGAGTGCATGCGCGCGCGCGCACACACACACACACACACACACACACACGCATACATAGCATAGTAATTAACAAATAAATGCTAATTTTTTAATTATAAAAGGAAACTTGGGAAAAAGTAAAGCCAGACATGGTTGTGTACATCTGCAGTCCCTGTGCTCACAAGGCAGAGATAGAAGGATTGCGAGTTCGAGGACAGCCTGGGTGACATAGTAACTTCCAGGCTAGCCTAAGCTACATAGTAAGACCTTGTCTCAAGAAACAATACTAATAGGGGCTGAGGGTGTAGCCCAGGAGGTTGGGCACTTGCCTAGCAAGCACAAAAGCTTGGATTTGAGTCCCAGTACCTCCTAAGCCAGGTGTGGTAGCACCTGCTTGTAATCCCAGCAACTTCTTAGATAGAAGCAAAGGGATAAGAAATCTCAGGTCATCCTTAAGTACGCAACACATTCAAAGCCAGTCAGGGAAGCATTGAACTCAATAAATAAATAATAAGTAAATAAATAAACGAATAATTATATATAAAGGAAACCAAAATAATAGCAATGCTATCATCATTTTAAAAGGAATATCTAAGCCTAGAAAATAAAGTTTTTGCCTAGAATATACAAGGCTCTGAGTTCCATCCCCAGGGCTGCAAAACAAAAGAATGAATAACTAGGCCCAGCGGTGGTGGCGCACGCCTTAAATCCCAGCACTCGGGAGGAAGAAGCAGGAGGATCTCTGTGTGTTTGAGACCAACCTGGTCTACAAAGCAAGTTCCAGGATAGCCAAGACTGTTACAAAGCAAAATCCTGTCTCGAAAAAAACAATAATAAATGGATGGATGGATGGGTGGATGGATGAATGGGTGGGTGGGTGGGTGGGTGGGTGGATGGATGGATGGATGGATGGATGGATGGATGGATGGATAGATAGAGATAGATAGATAGATAGATAGATAGATAGATAGATAGATAGATAGATAGATATAGATAGGTAGATATGTTAAGAAAGAGAAAAATATGAAAGTAAAAAGTGGTTCAGTTAGTGGGAGAAGGAAAAGATTGTGCAACGGGGCAAATATTATCAAAATACATCAGCTACACATATGAAATGATTAAAATTTTGCCTAAGAGGAAACCTGATGTAACTTCCAAGGAGAAACAGTGGGATCTGCCATCGTAGTTGAAGACCTCAGCGCTCCTCTCAGGCACTGAAAGGAGGAGTAGACACAGAGTCAGTGAGGATGTCCAGGACCTGACTGGCTCCACCTCATGACTCAATTGACATTTACACAGCATTCCACTCCACAGCAGAACGCACATTCTTTTTCAGAACTGATCTACACACTGGATGTGGTGGCACACACCTTTAACGCCAGCTCTCAGGAGGCAGAGGCAGGCAGATCCCTGAGTTCAAGGCCAGCCTGATCTACAGAGCAAGTTCCAAGACAGTCACAGCTACATAGAGAAACCCTGTCACAGAAAGAAAAAAGATCTACAAAAAAGATCATGTTCTGAACAAAAAGTCTTGATAAGCCAAGCACGGTGGCACATGTCTTTAATCCCAGCACTTGGAGGGCAGAGCCCGGTGGATCTATGAGTTCAAGGCCAGCCGGGTCTACATAGAAAGTTCCAGGCTAGCCAAGGCTACATAGAGGGACCCTGTCTCAAGTAACAACTGGAGGCTTGAGAGATGGCTCTGCAGTTAAGAGCACATAGTGGTCTCTGGTAGAAGACCCAAGTTCGATTCCCCATACTCACTTTGGCCCACTCACAACTTTATGTAACTCCAGTTCCAGGTAGATCTGATGCCTAGGGCTGGCAATGGCTCAGTGGTTAAGAGCACTACTGCCCTTGCAGAGGACCCAGGTTCAATTCCTAGTAGCACATCTGTTGGCTGACAACCACCTATATATAAATCCAGCTCCCGGAGATCACACACCTCTGCCCTCTAAGTGAATCTGCACTCATGTGGCACACACACACACACACACACATAATTATTAAAGTAATATCTTAAGATATCTTAAGTCTTTTTTTTTTAAAAAAGTAATTGGGGGCAGCTGGGGAGATGACTCAGCAGTTAATAGCACTGGCTGCTCTTCCAGAGGACCCAGGTTCAATTCCCAGCACCCACATAGCGGCTCACAACTGTCTGTAACTCCAGTTCCTGGGACTCTGACACCTTCACACCAATACACATAAAATAAAGTTAAAATAATTTTATTTTTTTTTTTAAATTGACTAGGCATGGCAGTACATACCTATAATCCCAATACTCAGGAGGCAGAGGCAGGCTGATCTCTTTGAGTTTGAGGCCAGCCTGGTCTACATAGTGAGATCCTGTCTCAAAATGAAGAAGAAAAAGATGATGATGATGATAATAATAGGAGAGCAGATGTAGTGATGAACACCTTTAATTCCAGTATTCAGAAGGCAGAGGAAAGCAAATTGTTGTGAGTTCAAGGCCAGCCCTGGTCTATAGTGAGACCTTGTCCTAAAATGATGATAATGATAATGATAATAATAATAATAGTATTTCTTAAAATCAACTGAGCAAAGTAGGAAAGGAAATCTGATAAAAGGCATCTATGAAGAAAACCACCACTTCATGGTAAAGACGGAATGCTGGCTGTTCCCCACGAGAACGGGAATGAAGCAAGGCTTCTGCCCTCGTCCCACAGTTACATAGTGGTCATTCCAGTGCAAAGGGGGAAGAAAAGAAAAGGAGATGCCAGACGTGGAAAGAAGAAACCAAGTTGTCTTGATTCACACACATTCTTTTCGATGTACAAATCCCCTGGGCTCTCTAAGCAATCAGGACCAATGGGTTTTTAATACACCTTTAGGACCTGAGGCGGTATTTCTAGAATATTAGCAACAATTGGGCATTGGAAATGCCTCATATGTCACAGAGTGCCACTTGACTTTCTAACAGAACACTCCTAAGTCAGGTACAGAAATCCCAAACTGAGTCAACAGCAGACTTTGTCTCCCAGACCCCAGTGCAGCTATGAGGCTTACAGAATTGTAATCCGCCCTTCTGTCTGTACCCAGTCACAGTTGATGGAAGGATTGAAGTTGTGTGATGATCAGATGTCCAGAAAAATTGCAAAAACTGCCAAGTGATACAGGAAGGCTCTGTGGTTGGGCAGGAAAGAGTCCTGCTCAGGGTCAAACGGAGCTGAAGCTGAAGAAGATGTCTGAAGAAAGTCAGAAGAGTGCGTGGGTCAGGGAGGCAGAGCCAGCCTTTGAGTTCCTGTCCATGGTGCTTCTCTCAGAGCCTGGCCACACAGCTGACCTACGACTCCAGGCCACGCTGAAGCACAGATGTGTCTGGATCCTAGTGCCTAGGACCAGCCATGCAAGGACCACCCCTTCCATCCCTAGGAAGAAGCCACACCACATTCTCATGCTTCTGATACAATCCTGGGAGCAATTCTTGGCCAAAAAGTAAGGTTAACATTTCCTGCTCCACCCTAGGCTCATGGGAACCCATTTTGCATAATGCATGGACGCCATGACCCCTCACCATCAATGCTTATCACCACCAGAGGAGTAGAGGCTGAGACAGCCTGGTACCCCACATCTAGGGGGTGAAGACCAGCTTCTGTATTGGAGGACCAAAGCCTCCTGGCTGTCTCCTGGCTCCAAGACACCCCCAGCCTCCTAGGACTTCAAGGATTGATTCAAGTTCACCACACAGTAGTACGGTGCTGGCACAACCTTGGATCAAGCACTCTGAGTGTAGGCCTTGGTCTGGGTCGGTAATAGGTGACCAAGAAGAGCTCAGGAAGCGGCAGAGGCGACGAAGAGTGGGGTTGGGGAAGTTCTTCAGGGGTGCCATGGGCTCCTGTGGAGCGTGGAAAAGCAGAAAATGAAGGCAATTCTTCAGCCTGAATTCAAGTCCTTGCCTTAGCAACCACCAGCTATGGGAAGCCTAGGCAATGAGCACCCTCTAATGCTCTCTGTGGAGCCCAGATGGAATACTGTGGGCACCCATGTTTGTGGAGGCAGGTGACAGATCCAAGAGTTGGGACGGGGCCAAGATGGCCAGTGGAGGGTAGCAGACACTGAAGAAGGGACCACTGAGCCTGTCATGAGGGGAAGATGGGAGAGATAATGTGGGGGGGGGTGCTGGAGGTGCTGGAGTGGGGAGGCAGAAGAAATTTGCACCAGCTCATGGACTGTCCCTCACCCTGATGCTCCCTGTCCTTTCCTTTTTCTCCTGGCCAGGTGTCAATGCATTCCCATGCTGTGGCAAAAATTCTGTGGACATCGTGGAAAGAACGTGAGGACCCGTCCCCATCAGCACAGGGCCTTCCCCCAAAACCCCAGGCTCTCAGCCTTTCCCCCAACACCTCACACTCCCACCCAACTAGGATCCCCCCTTCTTTAGCTCCTTTCCAGATCTCCTCAGGAGCAGTGTCCAGGCCCAAGGCTGGGGTTGCCTCCAACCCTGGCAGAGGGCTAGGGTGGGGCACATGGAGGCATGGCTGCCTTGTTGGAGGCAGACAGATCTGCCCAAGGTAGGGAAAGACAGGTAGGTGCCTGAGGAGGGAACAGGAGTTTAAGGTTGTGGTGCAGGTAGGAATAGAGGCTGAGAAGAAGTAAAGGGGCCCTGCATTTCCCATTCCCCCACCCCCATATCCATGGCTTCTCAAATCTACCCACTGGGAATGGGGCAGGTGAGACATGGGCCTCACTCTGGGCTTCCCTTGTGTAGGCGACCATTTTCTGAGCATCACGGCTGACCTATAGCACTTAATAAAAATGAATATTCCCAGCAGGATGGTGGTGGCACACACCTTTAAGCCCAGCACTCGGATTTAATCCCACAGGATTTAATCTCTGTGAGTGTGAGGCCAACCTGGTCTACATAGTGAGTTTCAGGATAGTCAAGGCTACACAGAAACACCCTGTCTCGAGATCACCCCCACCAAAAAGAGAATGAAGACTCCCAGGCCCCTCCTGCAACCCAATGGAGCTGAAGAGTGGATTGGCAAGCTCTCCAGAGCTTCTGAAGCTTTGGAGAGTCTTAATACCAGCAGCTTAGGGAATAAAATGTTTAGTACACAAATATGAGGGCCTGAATTTAGATATCCCTCAACCAGGTAAAAAGCTGGGATGACATGCTAACACCGTCATCCCAGAGCTGGGAGGTGGAAGCGGGAAGATCCCAGGGTCTCAACTGGCCAGCCACTCTAGCAAATCAGTGAGCTCCATGTTCAGAGAGAGACCCCATCTCAAAATAATGAGGTGGATAGCAACTAAGGTAGACACGTAAGATCAACCTACCCTTCACATTTGTATATGTGTGTGCATGCATACACCACACACACACACACACACACACACACACACACACACACTCCAGAGTTCCTAATGGAGTAGCAGGGACAGTGGGGAGTAGAGCTGGGGTCTCCTTGCCCACCCTTGTCCAAGGCCAGAGCTTTGAAGGCCCTAGAGATCTCTACCCCTGTGATCCTGCCTATGGATCTTGGTCACTCATTTTGATTCCTTATGCCTCAGGAGTGACCACCACCATCAGCCCCACACCCCTAAAGAAAAGGAGGAGGACGAAACAGAGGTGAGAGTATCATCAACACTTTATGCACAGGTAGCAGGCAAGCGGGCAGGGCAGTTCTGCTTGGCAAGTCTGGGACTGTAGTACCCGGGGAACACACACACCTTCACCACCTGCCTGCACTTCCTGCCCTGCCCCAGGCAGTTCTCCCACAAGAAGCCAGTGGAGATAAGGGGGGGGGGGGGTGCCACACAGGACCAGGACAGGGGCTTGGTGTGGCAGAGGAGTCCTGGGGGGGAGGGGGGCCCAGCTCCTGTTGCCTCAGCTTTCAGTTGAAACCTTTCAGCTGGAAGAACAGTTGCCCAAGAAGGAGTCCCTACCCGAAGTGCTCCCAGATCCAGGCCCAGTACCACAGCTGGAGGAGATGGGACCAGTGGTAGACTCTAAGCCCACACCTGAGCCTGAGGGAGACTACTTCACTGAAAGCCTGGAGCAGAAAGGCTACAGGATCGAATCTCTCAAGCCCTATGAGGAAGAACGGCATTCCAGAACCTGGAGCTTCAATGCAAACTCAAGCAACAGGGAAGAGGAGCAGGTGTCCACCACCCAGTTCCGCTCCATCCGCGTGCAGACCTCCAAACACCTCTTCTGGGCGAACAAGCTCATCCAGGCGTCGGAGCACAGCCTCCAGCAGGCCTTGGAAAAACATCGCAAGAGCCCCCGGGAAAGGAAGTCTGTCTGCATCTCCCAGGTTCTCACAGACTGCGCCCCGCGACCACCAAGCCCCTGTCTATCTTGCTCCAGCCTGCCCACAGCCATTGGCCTGGCAGATCTGATCAACTTTGCGTCCTCTCTGGCTGTAGCCTCCTCCAGCCACAAGGAAGTACCTAATTTAGAAAATATGATCAAAGCTACATCCGAGAAGTTGCAAGAGACACCTATAGACCTTTGCCAGCCAGTCCAGTCCATCAAGTTTGCCCAGGCTACCCAGATCACCCAGATAACCTCCGAGAAGCAAGAGAAGTCATTTGAAGACATGACAACTCAGAAATCTTGGACTCCAGAAACCAGTAATGTAGCTTGCTCTTACCTAGATTTTAGCAAGACAGGGCTCAAGAATGCCACCATCCAAGGGGAAGTGAAGTTTGTCCAGGCACCAGCCAAGTCCTCCCAGCTTCAGGAAGCCAATGAGTGAGTGGTGTTGCCCTGCAGGCCTTCTGGAGCCTCACCAGCATGTGGGGATGGGCTCAGTTCTCACATAGCAGGTGGGGTGGGAGACAGTGGAATGGAGGGGGAGGGGCTGAGGCAGGGCGCACAGGGCAAGCTTCGTCGAGGGCCCAACCTCAATGACCTCACAAAGGCTGCTAGGAACAAGATTCCGGTGACCTGAGGTGCAGCAGCAAAGCCAGGGCCAGAGGAGGCCCGGGGACCATGGAGGGTGAGCTCTCCAGGGCTAGGACAGAAACCTGGGTTTAAAATGGGCAGGGCCATGTCGCCTCAGGAAGCAGATGGGTTTCATGTTGTCTGCCTCCTGGGAGCATTGATGGTTACCTTCCTAGGGCACAGGACATTTCCGTGAGTGAGCATGAGGGAACTGGGCTCCAGAGCTCTCGGCCTCTGATGACATATAGACACAGAACAGGATGCCAGCTGCCCACGGGTGCAGTGGGAGACCCCGCAAGACCCTAACGCCATAATGACACTGTCTCTTTTGTGTTACAGCTCGGTGCCGGGAACCAAGAAAGGGAATCCATTATTGCTGAAAATCCATTTTAAGTTGTCATCCCCCTTACCCCAAAAGAAATGACTAGACAAAAACATTAAAGCCTCCAGTGCTGGCCCCGGTGAAGACTTTTTTTTAAGGTGCTGGGATCGAACCCAGGGCCCCGAGCATATTTAGGTCAGCGTTTTACTACTGGGCTATATCCTCAGCCCTTGGATTTTTGAGATAGCATCTCATTATGTAGCCCAGACTGGCCTCAAACCCTCCAGCTGCCTACCTCAGCCTCTTGAGTGATGACATTATAGTACTCACCACCCTGCTTGGGCTCTGGCTCAGATTTTAGAGGATCGATGTCTCCTCACCACTGAACACACCTGGCTGCTATATTCTGGAAGCAATTTTTTAGGGATGACACTGACATTTTTTAGTTTCCCTTGAGTCCATCGGTCCCCTGAGAGCTCTGGCCAGCTGTCTAGGGTTTGTTTATTCCCCAAAGTGGTTCCATTTTACTCCCACCTACCAGACCACTAGACCACCTCAAAGCCCCATCCCTGGCTTCAGTTTCTTAGGTCTAAATCCAGGGACATAGGAAGGAGCTTGAGGATGTGGGAGATGGGGCCTCCCTGGAGGTGGGGCTGACCAGAGGAGAAAGCAAATCCAAAGGGAATCCTTCCTGTAGCCAGTGGGGAGGCCATTGTTGGAAGGTTTTGAGGGAGGGAAGAACTGAGGTTGATAGACCGATCTTTTAGAAGGCCACAGCCTCAAACCAGAAATAACGCCAAATGTAGGGAGACCCCATGTGTGATGACCTCCCCAACATGGCAACCCAGAGGAATCCCCACACATCACCAGCCTGAAACTGGCATAAGACGGCATGTCCAAAGACAGGAAACAACACCCACAAGTGCAGGGGACACACATACCCAGAGCAGCCCCAAGGGTCAAATATGCACAGAGGCACACAACCACTATGTCTGGGGTCAGGCCTCAAAGGCCCAGGAGGAAGGCAGTAAGAGAGAGCTGCTGCTTTTGGCCAAGGTCAGGAGGCTGTGGAAAGCAGGGAAGGGAATTTGAGCCTAGGGAAAGAGAAGAGGCTGGCTTGGTCCACGGGCAGCTGTGTGCTTGAGATAGAGGGGGGTTGGGGGGGGGGCATCTCACTCTGCATAGCCCAAGCTAGCTTCAAACTTGTGGCAATCTCTCTACCTCGGCCTCCTGAGTGCTGGAATTACAATCACTAACATTACTGTTAACAAACTGGTGTTTGGTTTTTTGTAAGTCGGGGTTTCTTTGTTACCCTGGCTGGACTGCCTCAGATTCCCGATGATCCCCCAGCCTTTAACTCCGGAGTGCTGCGATTACAGGTAGAGGCTTACACTGCCACATCAGCTTTTGTTGTTAGCATTGTTGCTGTTGTTGAGACAGGGTCTCATTACGCAGTCCTGACTGCCTCTTGCCTCTGTCTCCTGGGTGCGAGGATTAAAGGCAGGTGCCACCACACGGCTTCTTTTGTTTTTTTCTTTTGAGACAGGGTACGGCTGTGTAACTCAGGCTGGCTTTGAACTCCCAAAACTGCCTGCCTTAGTCTTCAGCGTTCTAAGAGGAGCATGCTGCCATGCCTAGTCCTGGTCAGGCTCCCTGCCAAGGGAGAAGCCCACCAGGACCCTAGGAGGAGGCTGAGTGGGGCACACCTAGGGACAGGGAAGCGGGAAAGCAGGCCAAAAGGGAAAGGAGCAGGAACCTAGGATGGAGACAGAGAAGTCGCAGAGGTGGGTGTCTGGCTCTTAGGGTTTGTCTTTTTAGAGTTTATTGTTTTGGTGGGATTTTTAAAAGTTCATTTTTTTAGCCAGAGGTGGGAGCATACACCTATCATCCCAGCACTTAGGAGGTGGAGGCAGAAGAATCAGAAGTGAAAACCACGCAGTAGATGCGGTGGTCATGCTTTTAATCCCAGCACCGGGGAGGCAGAGGCAGGAGGATCTCTGAGTTCAAGGCTAGCCTGGTCTACATAGCAAGTTCCAGGCAAGCTAGGGATAATATTGTGAGACTCTGTCTCAAAAACAAAACAACAAAAAGTCATCCTCAGCTAAATAGAAAGCTCAAGGTTAGCTGAGCTATGGTACATAAGAGCCTGTCCCCCTCCTAAAAAAAAAAAATTATTGAAAGTGGCTTCAGGTGCACTGAGCAAGTGATAAGCACAGACAGCTCTGTGTGTCCCTTCTCTGTCCCAGCCCCCACAGCCTGGAACATAGGGACATGCTGAGACAGACACACAGTTACACAGACCCACGCTGGCTCACCACCATCACCCAAAGCCCATGGAGACACCAGGGTTCATTCCCTCTTGGTGTACTTTCTGTGACCAGTGTAGGGCGTGTGTCTCATTGTGGTACCGTACAAAATAGTTTGCCCGCCCTAAATGCCCTCTGCTTCCCACCCACTCCTCCTCCCCTGCCCTCAGCTCCAGGCACCCACCAACTTGTTCTGTTCCCTTTTGCTTTTTCTGGAAGGAACTGGCATCGAACCTCATGCAGCCTTTTCAAAAGGGCTTCTTTCCCTGTTTGGCAGTTAACTTGCCTCTGTCTTTTCACGGCTCTGACAGCTCATTTCCTCTCAGCACTCAATAATAGTCCGTTATCTAGATGGACCGGTTTGTTTTTCCACCCACCTACCCAAACACGTCTTGGTTGGTCCCACGTTTAGGCAGTTAGGAAGTTGCAGTGAGTGTCGGCGTGTGGATTTTGTGTTTTAGAATCATCTGGATAAATGCCAAGGGCCATGGTTGCTGCCTAATGCGCGTTGTAAGGTGTGTTCACGTGGCCCGGCTATTAAAGGCTGGGCTCACAACCAAAACATCAACACGTGTTCAGATTTGTAAGAAACAGCCGAAGTGGCTTCTTTGGCGGTTTGCATCGCTTTGCAGCCCCAGTACGAAGCTCCTTGTCTTCATTGTTTGGCAAGCAGTATCGGTGTTTGGAATCCTGGTGCTCTCGTAGACCAATAGTGCTGCCTCATTTTACTGTTCAGGCCGCCAGTGATCTGGGAGGCTGAAGATCTTACATACTTACTTGCATGTGTAGATCTTTGATTTGTTATGGTGTCTGCTCACATCTTTGGCCCATTTTAATTGGGTGACTCATTTTCTCACTGTTGAGTTTTAAAGGTTATTTGTATATTTTGTGCATAACAGTCCTTTTCGAATGTGCATCTCCCAGTCTATAATTGTCTTCTGATTGTCTTCACGCTGTTGGTAGAGTCAAAGGCTTGGGGTTTTTTTGTTTGCTTTTGAGACAGGGCCTCTCTGCATAGCCCTGACTGCCCTGGAACTTGCTATGTAAACCAAGGTGGCCTGAAACTCCCAGAGGTCTAGATACCTCTAGAGCTTTGGGATTAAAGGCATCCACCACCACGCCTACTTAATTTAAATATTTTGTTACATTTATCTTGTGTGTGGTAATGTACAATTCTTTTTATATATTGTTGACTTCACCTGCTAATATTTTGTCAAAGATTTTTGCATCTGTGCTGGAGAGATGGCTCAGTGGTTAGCACTTCCTGCTGTCCCAGAGGACCTGAGTTCAGGTCCCGGCACTCTCATTGGACAGTTCACAACCACCTGTATCTCCAGCTCCAAGGGATCAGATGCGCTTTTCTGGTCTCCAAAAACACTTGCACTCATTTGCACATACACACACACACACACACACACACACACACACACACACACACTCATAAGCAAAAAGCCTTTAAGACCATTTTTTAAAGATGGAGGTCTCACTCTGTAGCCCTGCTGACCTGGAACTCTCAGTGATCCGCCTGCCTCTACCTCCCAAATGCTGGGATTAAAAATCATGTGTCATCACACCTGGCCAAAATAATTTTGATTGTTGCTGTTGTTTGTTCGGGGGTTTTTTGTTTTGGGTTTGTTTGTTTGTTTGTTTTTGAGACAGGATTTCTCTGTGTAACTCTGGCTGTCCTGGAACTCACTCTGTAGACCAGTCTGGTCTGGAAGTCACAGAGATCTGCCTGCCTCTGCCTCCCGAGTGCTGGGACTAAAGGCGTGCACCAGTATGCCTGGAGGCCAAAACAATGTTTAAAAACAAGACTTTTCTATGTGTGTTCTTGAGGAATATTGTAGTTTTCTGGGAAAGTCTTTTCCTGTTTAGGGTACAGGGTAATGGCCTCACTGGGAGAGTTAAGATGCCATAGAAAAGTGATGGCCCTTCAATAAATGTTTAATTTTAAAAAATCATCAGAATTTGTATGGGCCTCTCCATGCTGTGGAAGGCTCTTAATTATTGCTTTGATTTCTTTAGTAGATATAGGTCTATTCATATTATTTCTCCACATGTAAGTTTTGGCAGCTTCTGCTTTTCAAGAAATTGGTCTACTTCATTAAGGTTATCAAACTTATAGGCATAGGCATTTATAATATTCCTTTATTATGCTTTGAGTTTCCGTGAGATCTGTAGTGATGTCCCTTTCACAATGCTATCACTCTTCCCCGCTGACTTATTTGTCTTTATGTAGGGTGTGTGTGTGTGCGCGTGCGCATGGATGTCAGGACAATTTGATGGGTCCGGGTCTCGTCTTCCATGTGCGGCCTGGGGACCTTCGAACTCGGGCCGTCAGACCTGTCAGCGGCGCCTTTACTCACCAGCCCTGTCCACTTCATTACTCTTTCACAGAAGACGATTTGGGCATTTATTATTTCCACTACTGATTGTTTTCTGCTTTCAACCTTAATGTTTGCTCATGTTTTATCAGCTTGATTCTACCTACCTGAGATGTCATTTGCACTTCTGTCTCTAGTTTCTTGGAGCAGAAACTCCAGTTCTTGGTTTTAGGTATTTCCTTTTCTAAAACGCGCGCCTAACACTACAAATGTCTCTGTAAGCAGCTTTTGTTATGTCCTACTATTTGAGATAAGTTGTATTTTTATTTTTGTTTAGTTTAAAGTTTCTTCTTTGATCCATGCTTTGTTTGTTTGCTTGCTTGCTTGCTTGTTTGTTTGTTTGTTTGGAGGCAGGTTCTCATACAGCCCAGGCTGGTTTCAAACTCACTATAGAGCTGAAGATGACCTTGAACCCCCGATCCTGCTGTTTTTGCTTCCCAAGTGCTGGGATCATTGACATGCACCACCATGCCTGGCACTGTCTTGTCATAACAACGTTCTTTCTCTCCCCCTCCTCCTTTTGACAAGGTCTTATTATATAGCTCAAGCTAACCTTGAACTCACAATCCTCTTGCCCCAGCCTCCAGAGTTCTAGAATTATGGGTGTACATGACATACCTGGCCCCACATGTTATTTAGAAGTGAATTATTTAATCTCCAGGTATTTAAAGACCTTCCAGCTCTCTGCTATTGGTTTCTGGTTTCATTCACTAGTGTTCTGAGAGTAGACATGGTGTGATATGTATTATTTTTAAATATTAAGGTCTCATGGGATGTCTTAAAATGTGGTTAGTGGGTTTATATTGGACAGGACTCCATGTCCCCCGCACCTGGCTTTGGGATTCTGTGGCCTGCTTTTCCCTGAGGGCCTCTGCCATCTCTATTCAGCATCCAGAGTGTAATCACAAATCCAGATGCCTGAAGGTAGAGACTTGGGGAGACTAGAGCAGCAGTCCCCACAGGAAGTCAGCCTGTGAGCAGGGGAAGTCACCACAAAAGTAGCCTGGGGGCAGCCTCAGAGTCTGTGACTCTGCCTTTCAGGCAGCAGAGGCCAGAAGACCAAGAGACCCTCATCGACACTGAGAAGGTATGAGCGACCAGGCCGAAGGAGGGTTTTGTTTTGTTTTGTTTTTTACCTGAGTTGGGGGTTCACACCCTGTGCCTGCTACAGAAGCCCCTTTCTATAGAGCTGTGGATTCAGCCTGGCCTGAGGATCCCGGGAGGAGGAGGTGGACCTGCTCACCCACAGTCCTTGTTCCCTAGGTGCCCTGGAGTCTATGCCCTCCAGTTGACCGGGCTGTCCTGCCTTTTCCCTGTCTCCAAGGCCTCCACAGAAGCCTCGGAGTCTCCTCACACGAGAGGAGCCGGCTGGCAGGGTGCAGAAAGGGAGGCTGCAGCTGCAGACGGGCCAGCTGCCTCAGTCAGAGCTAGCAGCCATGGCCACAAAGGAGGAGCAGACCATACTGAGGGCAAGAGAATTTAAGGACCCTGAAGCTACCCATCCATATTGGCCAGGCCCAGACACCAAGTCTCAGAGGTGAGGATAGGAAATGGAGACCAGGTTTGGGGTGCTGGCTTGGGGGGCAAGGGCTGCCTGGCCTTGGAGTCTCTTTGCAACAGGTACTACATGTCCAAAATCTTTCACTGGAACAGTTCGGCCGATGATAGCATGGTACCCCTGACACCCCGGCAGCTGGCAGGTAAGGACCCTAGGTCCACAAGCAGAGAGGAAAATAGGGGATGCTCAGGACAGAATTACGAGGAGTTACCTGCCTGAGGTTAGCATATTTATGACCCTTGTGACCCTCCCTCCACGCCAGTCCAATTTTTCCCTCTCTACAGCCCAAGGGCTCACTAATGCACCCCCAGAAGTGTGTGTACCTGTCTGTGTATCTGTGACTCTGTGTGTCTGTGTCTCTGTTTATTTTTTTGTCTGTGTCTGTGAAGGGAATACGGAAAATAAAACTGAATGTATTGGTGGATGGTTGGATAGTGGTATCTGAATGAATGGGACAGGATTTGAAAGAGAGAGAGAGGGAGAGAGAGAGAGAGAGAGAGAGAGAGAGAGAGAGAGAGGAG